AGGAACAGGTGCAGGGCCATAGGCACACAAGAAGGGGTGTGGGGCTACAGGCTCCTGACAGCTTTTAATTGCTGGGAGAGAGAATGAATGGGCTTTGTGGGATCTAAAGGAATGGCAGGATCCCCTTTGGCTGCCCCATAAAGTGGCTTTGCTAGCGTGACAAAGTTAGGAATCCATAGGTGAAGATACCATGCAAGCCCCAAGAAAGAAAGGATATCACCCTTTGTGATAGGAGAAGGGAGTACAGAAATTAGACTCTTGAACTGAAGGAGAAGAAATTTGGGCCTTGCTGCGGGACACTTGATATCCCCTGGAGGCCAGGAAATCAAGGAGAGCAACAGTGTGGGCCTCTGAATCTTCATAGGAGGGGCTACAAAGGAGGAGGTCATTCACATATTGTATTAAAGTGCTAGAGGTTGGAGGAAGTTCAGATAAGTCTTGAGCTAAGGTTTGGCCATGAACTGGGGGCTATCCCCAAACCCCTGAGGTAGTACTGTCCAGGTGAGTTGTTGGGAACAGTGTGTATCAGGATTAGTCCTATACTAAATGGTATGAGCTGTTAGGCTTTATAATTGGAAGGATGGGTGTATTGAAAGTTAAGTGGGTAAGCCATGAGAGATGAGAAGAAAGGAGTTTGTGTACAATGGGTTTTAAGCCTATTGGGTGTTTGTTAGCGATGGGTACTGTGGGACATTAGGGAACAAAGAGGGGTTCCACAATTTAACAAGGGTAGGGAAATGGTGCATAGCAATGGAGGGAGAAGAAGCATCCCATACTAGGGATTAACCTTGTCCAAGGGGGAGGGGAAGGTGGAAGCTTCAGAGGCCAGGTCTGGGGCAGCCTGTAACAGGAGTATTGTAGCTGGAGTTAAAGTGTTTAGGGTAAGAGTAGCTTTGAATTTGAAAAGGATGTCCCATCCCAGTAAGGGGGCTGGGTATTGAGGCATTATTAAAAACTTGTGTATGAATTGGGTGTTATAGGGTGAAGGAAACAGGTTGAGTGATCTGTGGGTGGTATTCTGATCCTGTGACCCCTACTATTGTGACTCCTACTATTGTGATAGAGGATGGGGTTGTTGGTCCTGCATATTCAGGAAAGGTAGAGTAAATGGCCCCTGTATTGATGACAAAAGAGATCGGCTTACCTGCTACAAGGTGAGTTACCATGAGCTCACGCATGATGATCTCTGTGGGGACCTCAGGCCCTGCGCATCCTCAACCCTCCTCTTGGGCAAAGCCTAGAAGCTCTGGTACAGATGGCCATGAAGCCAAAGGCTGTAGGTTGGGGACTGGGCCACTCCCTCTCTGGCAAGTGGCACAGTCAATGCCTAGTGACCTGGCCATTTGTAGTGAGGACAGGTTACGACAGGGCCATGCTGAGTGGCCCACTTGACTGCATTTGAAGCAGTTCCTGGGTGGCTTGCCTCTTAAGGCAGCCAGCTTTGGAGTATGTGAGCCATGAGTGGCATTAGCCAGGAACTGGTATTTAGCCTGATCTCTTTTATAGTTTTTTGAATATCTGGGGCTGAGTGGGTATTGAAATGAGAGTGTAAGAGGGCCATGCCTGCAGGGGAGTTTGGATCTATACATGTGTTTTCATGTAACTTGCTGGGATTTTCAGTGGATCTGTGTGATTTCTCTAAGCTTATCATAATTGACTGACTTGTGAGTAGCCTTTTGGAGGCCATAAATCAAGTGTGTGATCATGTTATCCTGGAGATCCCATTCCCAATGGCCAGCCTGGTAGTTCCAATTTGGGTCTGTGCAAGGAACAGCAATGGCTCCCACAGGCCGCCTATTATTTTGAGCATGTACCTGAGCTGCCATCCAGACCTGCTCCCTGTACATGGACTTAGACAATTCCTTCCATCCCAGCCACTTCACAGAAGGGTTATAAAAAGCTGGAGCTGAGGCAGGGTTGTTACCTGAAGAAGGGGGAGAAGGGGTGGAGTTGGGCTGAGGACAAGCATCTGGCGGCCAGGTGTTGGGAAGAGAGAGAAATGTGGAGTGCCGACAGGTCAGAAGATTTATCTGAGTCTGGAAGGAGAGGTCAAGCATGAGCTAGGAGAATTTGAGACATAGGACAGTTTTGACACAGAGAACATGTTCAGAGGTAGGAGAAGGCTTGAACAAGGAATCTCTACAGCTTTTGCCGTTTTGGTGAGTATCGAAATCGAGTGCCATCTTGTGGCCACTGGGATCCATTGTAACGAGTCATTTGAGTTTTAATGTCTCCCTGGAGGCTGAGAAATTGGCCGGGAGACAGCCTATGGGCATAGAGCATGGAGGTTTGGATTGTGGGGATCCCATTTAGAGGGTAAGAAAGGGCAGTCAGTCCTGGTAGAAGCAGCATGCCAACAAAGAGCGTCCTCTCTGCTGTCCACCTTCTTTTTTGAGAGAAAAGCCACCAACTGACTACAGGAGCATCCTTCAATATCTGAGGGGCATGAGAAGAGTTCCCTTGGTCAGCTACCTGGGCTTTGTAGAGACCTGAGTCATAGAGATTAGTCAGGGGTACTCATAGAAGTAGGCAGGACAGACCCACTGAATCACCCTGAATTGAGGCCAGTGTTGGATGCCTTGGTCTGAAATGGCAAATGGAGAGAGTCCCGGAGGCACCCATTTTGGCAGGTCTGGGATGGGTGGCCAGGAGCCAATCAACCCAAGAGAGGGGATTGTCTGACAGTCCGGCCAAGACCCTTCCCAGTTTTCAGCACCAAAATGAAAGAAAGTGAGCCACGATGCTGGGTACAACTCAAGCTTTATTAAAGAAAGAAATCTGCCAGGCTGTTCTCAAAATGGAGGTCAGCCCGGGGCTGCCCTGAAAATGTGGGCTTATATAGGTATGTTGGTGCCAAGAGCTGGGTGATGTAATTCTGGGGTGGGATTGAGTTAGGTCATGGGAATGGAGAGTTCTGCGCATGCCGAAATGCCAAAAAGTTTCATTTTCTCCAAAACCATGAGGCTTCTTGTAAAAGAGACCAGGGGAGGGGAGGAGAGGAGGTGGACGGCACCATTTTGTACTTGGGCTTGTCTAAAATGGCACTGGTTATGATGCAGATCTATTAACTAACACTGGAGAGATGGCCAAGGGTGGAGGAGGCCTAAGAGGGCTTCAGTTGCTATGCTGTGTCTCTGTGAATTTTCTTACCAGCAGTATTACTGCATGATAAATAAAGAAGAAATCGTCTTAACCTAAACCAAGCTATGGCTCTTAGTGCTAGTTCCTTTAACCAACTTCAACCCTGTTCTAGATAGCTGTGGAAGATTGAGCCTGAGGGAGCCCTGCTTTGGCACTGTTCCCAGCTGAGTCTGCCCCGTCCAGTCCCAGATGGCGTATGGCAGGACAGGAGCCTGAGGGCAGAAGTGACACCTGGCCCTGCCAAGTACCAGGCGTTTCACAGCTTCTCAATCAGCTTCCTCCTCCGTGAAGCATCCTGCCTGCTCACAGGGCTGCACGTGGCTCGAGAGAACACATATGGCTGTGCTTTGTGAACCACACAGCACCTTGAAATGCAGAGAAAAGGCAACAGAATGCTAACTCTTCAGAAGGAGCAGGCAGGCAAGGAAGGGTGCTCCCAAGGGGTGCAGCCCCTGCCTACGCCAGCCCTCTGTCTGCTCTCACCTGCCACTGGCACAGAGATAGGAAACTGTTCACGTTCGAGTCGAGTGGTTTTAAAACCCTGACTTAACTGCAAGATGTAAACTAAGAAGTCAGTCACTTGGTCAGATGTCCCAGAGCAGGCCCTGATGAATAGCTTCATCCCTTCCCTGTAGGTCAGCTTCCTTTACCTGAGCTCCTGGTGTAGTCCTAGTGACCCAGCAATCAACATGCCCCATGGTACTGCAATCTCATCAGATTTCTCTGGAAAACAGCACATTTCTTAGATCACCGCAGAAATCACCTACTTCAACTGTTACAGACGGGGAAATGGAAGCCCAGGATTTAGGTGGCTGGCCTGCAATCATGTTGACTTAGGGGTATTTTTTAATGTATGCCCATAAGAGAAAGAATGCACTTTGAATAGCTGAGACTGTCAATGTTTTCCTAAGAAACTGGCCTTCCAGGTCTTCATTTCCTCTTTACCTCTCAAAAGCTTCCCAGAGGTTCCATTTTTCATTTGTAATTGTCTTTTCAGATAGTTCTGCAGTTTCCTAACAAATATAGAAAGATATTTAATCATACTCATTTAACAAATATTTAAATCCTTTATTGTCATTAAGTTACAGCATCTCAATATACACACTGCACGGAAATACACAGATAACTTCAAACACTGGAAATAAGATCTCAGGTATATGGCCAGCTGTTGGTTGTCTTGTGATCATTAAAGAGAAGTGAAGGATGTGGTGTACTTAGGTGCTAGCAGTGACACATTTTGTTCTCTCTGGATTTTCATCTTGTAAATCCTAACAGATAATATACATATTACTGCAGATAAAACCATCATCCAAAATCATTAAATTAATTGCATATTGTGCGCTACTCTTTATGAAGAGAAGTAAAATATTCAGTACTTGTAAAGCAGCAGAGAGCTGGATTAGGGACTCTCAAGCTAGTTATATAAAAATAGGATGGTTAGTAAAAATAGCATTCAGCATGTTTTCCTCAGCAGTACTATTTAGGGTGACGAAATCTGTGACTCAGCGGCAGTAGCTGGCAATGCCATCCCTTTAAAGAGTGTGTTCTTCATCTTTCATTGTTATGCAGATGCCTTTTTAGACATCCTAGAAATAAACACAGAGGAAAATTCAATGATAAACAAAATCTCACCGCAGCCTCAAAGGCTTTAGATGGCTTTAAAAAAACCCCTTTAAGTAACATTTATTTCAATTTACAATTTTATAAAAACAATAATGTCTTATTTCATG